AAAAATACTTGCAAGGGATTATGTATTCAATTAGACAAATTAAATGAGCACTTATTAAGAATATTCCAAAATTGAGAAAAATGTATAATAAGCAAAATCGAGGTGAAAGAAACTTTATTACCTGTAGAACTTATATTGCTCAGGACACCCATAATTTCTTCGCTTTGCCAGCATTTCTTGAAAGTGAGGTCATTATCAACCCAAGTTTCGTCCAAATAAATAATATGCCTTCCTTCTTCCCGGAACTTTTTAATAGACCTAAGATACTTGTATCGCCAATGTAAAATACTGGGTCTTTCCATTAGTAATTTCCTTTTGTTGTGGCATTTACGCCAGTAAAATCCTTTTGCTTTTAAAAGCAGCCTCAACGATTCTTTACCAAATGGAAATTCCATTTCTTCCTTCAGTTTGATTAGAAGTTTACTACAAGTAGGTACCACTTTAAAATCACAGTAAAATTTTTCTATCATTCTCCGAATAATGGAAAAATCGACTCCATCAATTTTTTGGATCACAGAAGGGCGTGATCTCTTTTTTCCGGGAGAAGCTAAAGGCTGTGTGGAGGTTGCATTTTGCCTGTCTTTATCTTCTTTTCTAATTTTACTTATAGTTCGTTCACTAACACCCGTATAATATGCCGCCCTTGCATTTCTAGCTACCAGTGGATAAACGAAAGTATTGTTAGCCGCTTCTGCATCGCAAGCACGTATCACGTTTGCTATTATTTCCCTTGCCTGGCTGTGAATAACTTTCCCATGCTTGAATTCCATTATCACCACTAAACAGTAAATTATATTTTCAAAGTATTTGCCAACTGCCTACGCCTATGGGAGTAGGTTTATAAATGACCGTGCCATCGGCACGTTATTCTAGTTTCAGATAAGATAAGAGTTTTGGACCAATCAGCGACCGGATGTTTACCTGCGGCCTGGGTTTTCCAGCTATAGATCGACCAGCCAAAGATTGCTAGGGACGAAAGGGGGAAATGCGATGAAAAAACCTTACCATTAGACGATTTTATATGGAGTCATAGGCGGAGATCGGAGAGACTTGAATTATTAATTGAATTTATATTTTATTACAACTGGTAGTATTAATATTTTTTTGCGATTCATAATGACGTGATACCAAACATACATTATAAGAAATAAATATACACAAACACTGAATATTGAGAACAAAATAAATATATTTTTTAGGCAACAAGTAATATTCCTATGTACGCATTATGATTGAACAGCAAAACAAATTATGCATTCTTCTAAAATAGAATACAACAAGTCAAAAATATCTGACTGAATAGAAAAATATAGGAAAACAAAAAGTAATTTCTTGATGAAATAACCCATAAACAACACATAGAATTAGACTTTCTACTGAGATACTAAAAGCCACAAACCAATAGTATAATAAATGAATATCTAAAAATTCTAAAAGGTAGCCAATCTAGTATAGTTTCAATCCTGATTAGAGTCATGATCACTGTCTGAGGAACTGTCATTGCTATCACTTTCACCTCCTATGTTGATTATTATTTCTTCCTGTATTTCTTGAATGAGACTGTCTTTTTCCCAATATTCATCTTCAATTTTTATAACATGTCCAATAACCTTTTGCCAGTCACTGGCACTTACTGAAGCGATGGCCTTATTAGAAATTTCATCTAGTTTTTTTATAGTAAATTCGCCGCTTGTATTATGGCTTCTAATGAAAAATTTTACTTGTGCCCAAATCATCTCTATGGGATTAAACTGACACATATAGGGTGGCGTTCGAAGTGGGGTGTGTCCGAAACTTCTTATTAAATTATCTATCTTATAATTTTTCTCATCAGATGGTGGCCTATGTAGACAAGCTATTTCATAAAGCTCCATTTTTTTAGCATTAGGATCATGCTCTATACCTTTTTTGCTCAACCACGTGATGATGTCTCTTTTTAGAGAAGATCTAGTTGGAGGCTTGTCTTCCAAAGCTGAATGGTAAGGTGCATTATCCATTATTATAATACTATTAGGAGGAATGTTAGGAAATAGTTTTTCAGTAAGCCACTTCGTGAAATTTTCTTGGTTCATTTGACCGTGATAATCACCAGTGGCACAGCCAGCCTTGAAAATGAGACAGGCTCCAGGAACAAAACCATCTTGCGAACCCGCATGAACAATTATAAGTCGTCCTGGAAATGAATAAATAGCCTCATTTTAGTGTTATTTTAAGTTTGCCAACACCTTTTTGAATCACTATGTATAAAAAACATATTTTTGAGAAAAAAATACTTGCAAGGGATTATGTATTCAATTAGACAAATTAAATGAGCACTTATTAAGAATATTCCAAAATTGAGAAAAATGTATAATAAGCAAAATCGAGGTGAAAGAAACTTTATTACCTGTAGAACTTATATTGCTCAGGACACCCATAATTTCTTCGCTTTGCCAGCATTTCTTGAAAGTGAGGTCATTATCAACCCAAGTTTCGTCCAAATAAATAATATGCCTTCCTTCTTCCCGGAACTTTTTAATAGACCTAAGATACTTGTATCGCCAATGTAAAATACTGGGTCTTTCCATTAGTAATTTCCTTTTGTTGTGGCATTTACGCCAGTAAAATCCTTTTGCTTTTAAAAGCAGCCTCAACGATTCTTTACCAAATGGAAATTCCATTTCTTCCTTCAGTTTGATTAGAAGTTTACTACAAGTAGGTACCACTTTAAAATCACAGTAAAATTTTTCTATCATTCTCCGAATAATGGAAAAATCGACTCCATCAATTTTTTGGATCACAGAAGGGCGTGATCTCTTTTTTCCGGGAGAAGCTAAAGGCTGTGTGGAGGTTGCATTTTGCCTGTCTTTATCTTCTTTTCTAATTTTACTTATAGTTCGTTCACTAACACCCGTATAATATGCCGCCCTTGCATTTCTAGCTACCAGTGGATAAACGAAAGTATTGTTAGCCGCTTCTGCATCGCAAGCACGTATCACGTTTGCTATTATTTCCCTTGCCTGGCTGTGAATAACTTTCCCATGCTTGAATTCCATTATCACCACTAAACAGTAAATTATATTTTCAAAGTATTTGCCAACTGCCTACGCCTATGGGAGTAGGTTTATAAATGACCGTGCCATCGGCACGTTATTCTAGTTTCAGATAAGATAAGAGTTTTGGACCAATCAGCGACCGGATGTTTACCTGCGGCCTGGGTTTTCCAGCTACATTGCCAAATTCAGCGGAACAATTCTATATCTTAAATATGTTAATATGTATGGACCGCATTTTATGTAGAACATCTGACAACTTCGCAATTTTTTGTCCGCATTCTTTCGGCTTGCAATCTTTCGCTGGTCCAACAGTACATTGCCAAATTCAGCGGAACAATTCTATATCTTAAATATGTTATATTATGTATGGACCGCATTTTATGTAGAACATCTGACAACTTCGCAATTTTTTGTCCGCATTCTTTCGGCTTGCAATCTTTCGCTGGTCCAACATTAGTGATGGCCGGAAATCAGGTGTTTTGGGATAAACAATTGAACATTCTCAAAAACTACTTGACCAATTTACTCCAATTTTGTTGTGGTTATTCATAAGTTCGAATCCTACAAATTTGAAGAATTTCAATTATCTGTGAGAAACCATCGTCGCATTGCCAACAAGTGCCAAGTTTGCTATTAGTCGGATCTTCTTACGTGTGGTCTCATTTTGTAGGTCTCATAAATAGCTAAGAATCTTATACGAAGAGTTTTTTCGTTCCTGCCAACACTTTCAATTGAATCCCAAAAAACACGTCATCTCATTCTTTGTCGTCGAATAAAAAGTTTTCCCACAACAATTGGTATACCCATTTTATGCGTCCACGTTTTGAATACACCCTTGAACAACTTGCAGCAATAAAACCAGACAAACCAGTGGTATTTTCGCGAGTGATCATTTAGCTACAGCCTGTGGCTTGATATATTTTGACATATGATATGTTTCTAAATTTGTCTGTACAGCGCGAGTGACGGTGGGCATACTAAAATTTTATAAAATCAAAATGACGGATTTTAATGAAATAGTTCAACCTTGAAATTCCTGCCTCACGGGTGCTTAATTAGCTTGATAGGTTTTGGCATACGAGGTGTGTAGATTTGTCTTGACGGTGCGAGTAACACTGGGTATACTCAAACAGCTTGATGGATTTGAGGTTGTACCTAGCTTCGTTTTAATAATAATAATAATATCGTCTTTATTAATAAAGCTACATAAGTGAGAAGCATTATGGCGAAGTTTAGCTAAACCATATGAATACAAAATAAACATGATAAAAGAGATACAAAACAAGTTTTTATCTTGCAATTTGACATTAGTATTCCAACCAATCAAGAAAAACATCCAACTATTCATTTAAATGTATACACACAGCGACACAGCCAATGTGCCCATAAACTAACTTACGTACAGGCTGTTAATGTTTAAAAATCTACAGTTTTTCAGAAGCTGATAGCAACTTTTGTTTTTCTTACGAATTTTATTATGCGAGAACTTCTGAATACTTCCTATTATTAAACTGCGTGAAATTATCGCCGCATTAGCAAGTGCCGAAACCTGCATGTTTCCTCGGTTTTCGGTTAGGCGACTTTTTTACTATTAGTAGGGTCTTTTTACGTGTGGTTTCATTTAGTAGGTCTCAAAAATACCTAAAAATCTTGGGGTGGGCGCTTCTCCATAATCCCGTTCCAGCAAGGTTATTTTTGCGGATGTTTTGAAAACAAACAAAAACACACACAACTCTTGTGACTTAAGAAACGGGTATAATGTTAGGTAGATTTTACTTTTCAATCAGAAGCTAGGGAGCATATGCCCCTCTAGTGGGCCCCCATGCGTGGAATGGTAGAATCCCAAACTGAAACATGCAATAATAAATGCCATTAGTTTTATGAAGGTATATAAGAGGGAAATATGTTTTCGAGAGATTGTATTTTTGTTGGCCAATTGTCTACATATAGAGGTGTTTGTTCCAGGTGGTGCGAAAGAGGATGGCAAGCCTGAACGCGACCGCGATCTTAGCGGCCAGTTACTCCACTGAAAAGCGTCAGACATCAAAGACCAAGAACGATGATTCCTCCTCAGACGAAAGTGGCTCGTCCGAGGAGTATTTCGCGGCTAATAAATCACAGGTTAAAGAGGAGGTGCCTGAGGACGATGAAAAGAAGGAAGAAGACAGGAAAATGATTGAGGTTTGTACAAATGTCTGATAATTAAGGTTCGGCCGAAGGTCAATTTTTTTACCGAAGTCGAAACTTTTAACACAAACATTCGGCCAAAGCAGAATGTTTAGTTTAATCACAAATTTGGACTGCGTTATAAAGATAAAGATAAATTTAATATTGTCACCCTCAAAATAACTTCATTCTGAAGCCACACAGCGCTGGGGACGTTCCTTCCACTCCATATAGCAGTGCTGGAACTCCGATACTGTAATAGCGTTCAGCTGGTCGATTACAGCCGTTTGAATGTTTTCGAATGTCCCAAAATGCGATCAATTCAGGTGGTTTTTCAACTTCGAGAAGAAAAGTAGTCACAAGGACTGAAGTCTGGTGAATAAGGAGGCTGAGAAGCCACAGGATTTTTTTTACTGGCCAAGAACTCATTTATTGACATTGCTGTTTGACGAGCAGCATTATCATGATGCACCCAGTTGTTCTTGATCTGATGAATGGTGGTGTGAGTCAAATTTAACTCTTCACCGATCATTTTGACACTCAACCGACAATTGCTCCCTGGATTCTTTCGATATTTCAATCGGAGAAGCCGCCTCGTGGTTCACCTTCAATCGACTCCTTCACTTCTGAAAATGCCTTAAGCCACCGAAAAATCTGGGCTCTTGACAAAACACTGTCTCCGTAGGCCTGTTTTGCAAGAGTTTTTGTGGCCAAGTCTGAAGAAAAACGTAATAGCAAACCGTTGCTTGAAATTGATTTCATCCATTTTTAGAACACAACAGGAAAAACTGAACTACTAGGAAAATTTGTACTGAAGGTGGATTACATGTTTCCCTGCCTCCCTTCCAAGCCTGGCGGCCCCAGTGTTGGCAGGTCGAGCGCTACGTTGCCGGTCTCATCACTTAATTTACAGTCCTCGTATAATCATGAACTATTGTGTCCTTGGTTCAGTAAGTTGTATCCTATGTGAAAATCATGATTGTTCTTATTCCGATAGAGTTTTTGATTTAAACAGAATCGAATAAACCATGGCTATTTTGATTTTTTATATTTATTATTTCTTTAAAGGGTTATATCATTTGTGACATCAGTGAACATTTTCGGAACTACCAATGATAGTCTGGTTTTAGAAGATCTAAAGAGATTTGCTAAAAATCTACAAGGCAGTTGCGATAGCATTAGATATATAACAAAAATCAAATGCATTGTAAGACGCCGTTAAAGTCTCCAAAAAGCTGAAATCAATATTTGCAGAACAGTTATTATATCATTCGCGACAACAATTAGCATTTTCGGAACTCAAAATGAGTATCCGGGGACAGGTCTACTGCCTTTAGTAATTAAATTCAAATCCAAGAGTGATACATTCAAACAAGTAATTTTACAGAGGAAATAATAAGAAATGTAAAATCATTGCAATGGTGAAAATCACAGTTGGGGAACATAGATGAGCATGGTCAACTAACACCTACAACTTGTTCACAGCTGTGGCTTTCTATGCAACAGTTGCTTTGTTCCAGTCTAGACTTCGAAGTAAGCTGGGAAAAGACAATGTGATAAAATTGGTGTTCCTTTAATTGTCGTTATGTTTTTTGGATGTTATATGACATGTACATTTGTACCATGTCACTCATTTCCGTCGGTCTGTCTATTTGTCCTAGTGTCTGGATTTGGATGAAATTTTGGCAATGTTCCCACTATGCTAAGGACAAAAATCTTTGTATTTTTTGAAAATCCATCCAGTGGCGACGGAGTAAAAAGGCCAAAAACGAAAAAATAGAAATCGTTTAAACTTCGTTTTTTCGGAAAAAAATTGTAGGGGTTATAAATTGGGGTCAAGAGTTACAGGGGGTGGGGGAGGGTATATTTCAGCTTTTTGACGTTGGTGTATTTATACCTCTCCCATCCCCAGTAATTCTACACCTATTAGACATATTTCACTCATCATAGATGCCTCCGTACATTTACCCTTAAAACCTATAAATATCTTAACAGTCGCGTGTCGATACGTGTGCCGTGGTCCGACTAATGGTCGAGAGTCGCAGTAGACAGTCGCTTCCGTGCTATTGTGGGCTGTATGCTGTGAAAGTTATCGCCATTCATGCAAGATTAGTCATTAGGATAATCTTCGACCGCAGGAATTTGTTTTAAGGGGCGGGGGATTCGTTTAATTTTTTGTTTTACATGCGTGTATACTTTATCTGAAGTCACTTGAAACACTGTGAATACCGGGTGCGTTTTATATATCTATATTTAACACGCTCTGTTGCTGCAAAAATCGCCAAATTTCGCAGCAAATATCCCCCGTATAAGATCAAAGGCAGTTTCACCGGTCCACGTGGAGTAAAGCACGCCTATGCGTGGACATAGCCAATGAGAAAGCGTGTATTTCAGAGCTCCGAACAAGTGCAGGTGGCTACTGAAAATTGAAACAGTTTAGCCAGTGCCGTGTAGCGGTGAATAAACGTGTTTTCTTTAGTCTGTCCGTGTTTTTTCATAGATTTTATTAGTTTGTGTGTTTTTGACTTTTGAATACTCAGTTTACTTGTTGATTTAATTGTTGTGTTGATTGTTCTTGTGTGTCCTAAATATGGCTCTTTGGAGACCTTGGGAAAATGCTCCAAGCCACGAGGAGATGGTTGATGAACCTGTGCAGGCAGAATTCTTTCATAAAGATTTAGAGGAACAGACCCAAAGAGTAATCCTAAATATGTATGATTGTCTGAAAAACGAAAATCCAGATTCCTCGCAAAATCAAATTTTAAACAGAATTTGTATCCTGACAAAAATCAGTCGGTCTACCATTTATCGGGTTATAAAAAGGGGAGATGTAGTCAACCATTCCTTCCACAGAAAGCGCATAGGGCAAAAATTAAAAAGAATAGACGTGGGTTTTCAGGAAGATATTCGTCGCATAATATACGGATTTTACAAAGAAAATTTTTATAATTACAAATGCTTAGACTCACTGCACTGTATTGTAAAACTGTGTGGTTTTCAATATAAAAAATTAGATAAAAGAATGGTGATTATGGAGTCGTCTCGAATCGTTGAATTGCGCCAAGAATTTTTGCACAAAGTTAAAATCTATAGAGAGCAGAAAAGAAATCTGATTTTCCTAGATGAAACGTGGTATGATACCCATGATGTTGTGCAGTACGGCTGGGTTGACGACAGCAACAAGTGCATTTTAAATGCACCATGCAACCGTGGAAAACGAATCATTATTCTCCATGCTGGCAGTGAAAATGGATTTATACCTAATGCCTTGCTGTTATCTGCCAAAAATATCAAAGAATCATGTGCCGACTATCATGAGGACATGACCTCCGACTTATTTGAAAAGTGGATAGAGCAGCATTTCCCCAAATTCAGTGATTATTATGGACAATGCGCCATACCATTCCCGACAGGAAAACAAAATTCCGAATACAGGCACAAAAAAACAAGACATTATTGATTTTATGAAGGATAAGGGAATGGGAATACCATAAAAATCAACCAAAGCCATATTATTGGATCTTATTAAAAGACAAAAATTTGAAAAAGAGTATGTTGTTGACAATCTGCTTTTAGCAAAATGGCCATGAAGTATTACGTCTACCTCCCTATTACTGCATTTTTAACCCGATTGAGTTGGTCTGGGCTGCTTTAAAAAAAAAAGTAAGAAAACATAATCAGACCCCTCAATTAAGTGAATCGCTATTGGCCACAATAAGAGATGCAGTATCTCATATTGCTGCCACAGACCTATGGAAGCAGTGTTCTAGGCATATTATTGAAAAAGAAAATGAATATTGTCTTTGCCTCCTGTAAATCCCGTTGTAATTCCTCTACAAGATGACTCTAGCGACAGCTCCGAAGGCGAGGATGATATATAAATACCTATAATGTGAGTCTTTATATACCTTTTTATATACCTACCTGCTATGTAAATATTTGCCTATGTCAAACGTTGGAATTCTGTAATTTTTCCATTTCTTAACTTTCAGTCAACATAAATTAAACTCCCAATATAAGTATTTTTTATCCCAAATCAAAAAAATAAAAAGATAGTAAAATCCATTTATTGTGATATAAAAACATTATTATCGTTCTAAATAAATGACCGCACGCCTATGATACGTCATGAAATTACAAAGGACGCGCCGACCAAAGGTTTTTATGCTATTTCAAGTGACTTCAGATAAAGTATACATAACTTTTTGTTAGCAGGGCTAAATTGTGCCAAAGGTAATCGTTTACAAACTGCGTTGCGTGTGAAGTACAGTACCTTCTTGACGCCATTTTATTCAAATATCATAATAAATAGTTGTTTTTTGACTTTCTTATTTATTAATATCTCTTTCTCAAGAACTGGGTATTCGTCGCACTATTTTAAATGAAGACTTCCACTTGCGGCGATACAGGATTCAGTTAACCCAAGAACTACAGCCTAGTGACCATGAAAGTCGCTGACAATAAAGTCAATGCATTCTTACCTACAACTGATAATGAGCGATGAAGCCCACTTTGATATAACGGATTTGTTAATTAGCACAATTGTCGTAATTGGGCATTAGAGACCCCTCGTGTCATCCATCAAGGACGGAGCAAGGGAAGGGAAACAATAAATCTTTTGCGAACAATATTTCCGGGACGTTCAATTTCTCGATTTGGTGATGTCAACTGGCCACCAAGGTCACCGCATTTAACGGCTCCTGACTTTTTTATGGGGATTTTTGAAAAGTAGGTTTTATGCCAAGAAACCAACTACTCTAGAGCAGCTGAAGAACAATATTACGGAAGCGATTGAAAATATTCCTCCCGAAACCTACCAAAAAGTGAAGGGAAATGTAATCAAGAGGGCTCAGGTTTGCGCTGCTTCTAGAGGTGGACATGTGTATGATAGTATTTTTCACACATAATTTCTAAGTTTTAATAAAAGATTAAGAAAAAAAAAATGGACGTATATTATTTCATTTCACAAATATCCAAGATACAAACCAGTCGGTTACATATCATCCACCCTGTAATTTGCTATAATACATGAAAACTGTGATTTTGAATAAGTATTTTTCTTTTATGTACGTGATTTAATTAATATTATTCTAAGAAATCCCTGAACTTTCTTGAAAAAAATCAAGTTTGATATAAATACTGATATGTATGAAAATCTCACTTGATTATAAATCATGGTTTAACTCAATCAACCCTTGTTGTGTGCATAGTAGTATATCTTATCCTTTTTGTTCCAGGTCCGCGCAAGTCCAAACAAAAAGGTAGCCGTGATCCTGAACCACCAGGACACCGCCGACGTTACCATAACCGGCGTGTACGTGAACAGTACCACCAGATCAACGCGGCACGAGGGGTACTGCAGCATCGCCGGGATGCAGTACCGGATATCCGCCACCAGCCATACGCAGACGGCAGCGGCGGCCGCAGTGGCGACGGCGGAAACGTTGCTCAGGAGTGGGGAGGCGCAACAGCAGCAGGAGAATGTGAGTTGTTTTTTTGTGGAATGTCGGATGTTCGATCATTTTTTCAATTGCGACAAATCGCATCAAAAAGGTTGTGCAGGAATTTCCGTCCCAATGCATGACTTCCAAAATTACATTTTTATTGAATTATGAAGTCATTAGGGACCCTTGAACATTTTATATTCTTTGAAATTGCTCGCATGACATCTTGACATTTTTCAGGCACCCATTTTCCATTCACGACGGTTTCAAATGGAGCAGCATCGCTCATTTTGAATTACCGAATATTCATATACTGATTTGGTAACGCAGAAGCTGCAATTTGCAGGCTCCAACACATCAGAGATCGGCTACGTGGGGTTGCGCGCATCGCCGTTTACAGCGTCATGCGGCGGTAACTCGACGCTTACACCGTACAGGTTCGGCCTTATCGGTTCCTCCCAAGAATGAATTTCCGATAGCCCCGAACGCTCATATATAAAAATATAAGGTAGTTTTTTGAGCAAACTGGAAAAGGTATCAAAAGGCTGTTTTCATGGCAACCTTGTTATGTTACTAGTGCATATTTTAAAATTATTTTAATATATACAGGGTGTTCCATAGCTTCGTGCCATGATAAACATGCATTTTTTGAAATTGAATACCCTATATTTTATTGCACAATTGGATAGAGCTTCTAAAAAACAAGCAGTTTGATATAATATAACATGGTTACGATTGACTATTGTTTAGGTATTTAGTAAAATGTTTGAAAAAATGCCCCACTTTGTCGGTTCGCAGTTCCGCGATTTTTGAAGAAATTTAGATAAATCTTAGTCCAAAAAAATGCTATTATCATTTTAAGCTGCTCTAAAAGAAATGCTAAAATACCAGACTACAGGTGAAACGCAAAATGTATCTTTTCTCATAAATCTCAAATAGAACAACCCAGTATACTTCTACATCATTAAATAGGTTTCCTTAGGAACTCTTTTATATAAGGTTTATACCAACTTTTTCGTACAGTTTCCCAGTTATTACTATTAATTCCAAGGAAAAAATTTGTTCCACATTTAAACTTAAAATCAGATCTTCCATGAAAAAAATTACGTTTCGCACAAGACTCATCTTAACTCAAGACAATTATTCATTATGAAATTGTAATATATTGGATACAAGATGTATTTGGTGTTTCTTAAAATTAACACCAATAACGTTTGAAAAAAAGTTGTATAAACATAATACCAAAAAAGTTCACAAAACACTATTTAACGATGTAGATACAGACTGTTCCATGTGAAATTTTTATGAAAGGTCATTTTGCGTTTATAAATAGAAAGAACTTTTTCCAGATCAGTTTAAAATCGATGATAATAAAATTCAACATGCACATACTCTGGCCCCACGTGGAAATCCGCAGGTTGGTATCTCCACTTTCGACACTGAGATACCATCTACCACCTACGGACAATCACAACATCCATAGCAAAGAGAATTCTCTTGGGACGGGATTCGAACCCGCGCAGCACATGGCGACACCACTGTTAAAAACAGAATACCTCATTTTCGAAATTTTTCACAATTACAATACTTCTTCGCCCAGAGGGAGAAAGTAAAAAACTATGAATGTTGAGAATGAATTCACTAACGGTGGTTTAATGATCAAAAAACAAAAGATCCTTTACCCCTCCATAATTCGGAAAGAGCCGCTGGCCCATTGATGTTGACGCAAGGTTACCGCTATTCGGAGGACGAAGTAGCTATGTAGATGTTGATTGTTGATTCAGTGGAATCAGGGCATACATAGCGAGACACAAAATGCAGCTGATCGTTACTTTATTTTTTCCTATGGCAAATATACACAGAACAAGCAATTATCAAGACAGCCAGTTGAACGACAGAAAACATATAACAATGCGACACTAAGAAATTCTTGTGCCATACCAAATCTCTGCTCAATGTATCCAGGCAACCGTCGCCATAGGTGATGTTGGTGTTACAATCGTAGTTCAAACAACAAGAATCTGGTATAATATCCCAATCCGTACTGTTGTCTATTCCACAACATTCCATTTTGTACTGAATTGTATCCCAGGCATACTTGTAGAGGCTTTTTCTTTTATATTCGTATAGGGTTACTGTCAGCACTTCTCTCAATTCTTGGTTTTCCAAAGATGACGTTAGGGTGACATTTGCTCCGCCAGTGTACATGATTCCAAAGTAGGAGCCGATTATGAGTAGAGACGAAGAAGCTGAAAAACATATTTAAAAGACCTCCCAAAGCAAAATGTTATTTCATCAAACACGAAGAATATGAAAAATATACTGAGTGACAGAAAAAAGAACACCCAGCAATAATAGAATTACAAAGATTTTCTAGGTGCATAGATAGATAAAATTGAAACAGACACGATTGATTTCCGTCTCTGTAATCACGACCAACCGCAGACAGCGCTATTTCGTTTTCATTAACACCTCGTCAGTGCGGTATAGATCTAGTAGTACTGGAGACAGATGAACGGAAACAAGAGAGTATAGTCGTTTGAAAAACTAAAACTGTGCGAAAACCAAACTATACTGAACAGTCATAAAACAATACTATTTTTTTCTAAAACCAAAATTCAATACTGTCTTCGAAACTCGTTTTTGCATCTTACCTAAGAGAAGAACGACCAGCAAATGCAAAAACTTGTACTGTGGAGAATTATTGTGAATCGAAGCAGCTACCCAGAAGCCTGGCAGCAACAATAATCCTGCTGGTAACATGAAGTACGCTGTATCCACCTTGATATCCAGGAGATATTGGTAGGGAATTTTCTTCACCAACGACCAAATGGAGAGGGAGATGAGCGTTATTCCAGCAGCTAATAAGAGTACGGAAGCGAAACATAGGATGAAGCTCACAGCCTTGTCATATTTATCTTGTTCTTGGGATTCTACGATAACAATGGACCGTTTGCGCTTTTTCATGTACCAGGGAAGTACCCAGGAATCAGCTGAATTGGCCTTCTTGAGCATGATAACTGATCGCATTGTTGGTTATATGCAGGTCATATGTCAGTATTGACATATTGACAGTGATGCATGTTATGCTATACGGAACGAGTATTCTCATTGTCAGTAATATCCCATCATAATTTCTCAGTATTACCTTGAAAGTTATTTGCTGAGTAGTCTTTAACATAAAATCTCTGGCACATATTTTGAAAAAAATAGTCCATGGACTCCGTAGTATTTATTCGACGTTCTCGGTGAGATACTTGGCCATCTTAGCTAAGCAGTAATTTTTTTTTACACCGAAGCAGCCGCGCAGGCAGTAGCGGCTGTTATGGGGATCCCAAGAAAACCTTGTTAATCCGATTTTTGAACTGCATAAGAACTGGAAAAGCGTCCCCTTGTAGATTGTTCCACAATCTCGATACACTAGGGATAAAGGAGCGGTTGTAACGACCAGTTCTGGATGTACGAAGTTCGATACGGTTAGAATGGGAAGCGGAAGTCAGGCAGGCCTGTGTGACAGGCACATCGCGCGGCGATATAATGGAGGAGAACCCATTGGTGTAGCGGTAGAAGAGAGCTAGATCGCCGACGGCCCTCCTACGATCAGCATCGAGCACGGAAAATGTAGTCGGGGCGGCAGCACCCCAAACATGCGCTAGCTATACTTCAGGCTAGGTATTATCTGGACCTTGTATACAATGAAGAGTTGTGTTCGTGTCAGAACAAATCCTCGGTGATCTGGACTCCGACCAGCTGAAATAAACGGCTCTTTGGCAAAACTCGGACATCTATCGAAACCGCTAGTACGCTTTTTGTTCGTCAAGATACCATACTGTGTTTTGGAAGCATTAAACTGTACAAGATTGTGGCGTCCCAAGCAGTGATGACCTCCAGGTCTCTCGTCAGAGAGGAAGTCGCTGCTAGTCTTCTTTTTTCCAGCTCACCGGTAGAGATCGGAATGTCGTTCTAAATTCCTACATGTAGAGTGCTGCCATCAGTAAAGCTGTGGATTGGATTGATCGAACATGAAAGGGGGTCGTTGATATATAAGAGGAACAGAATCGGACTCGAGACCGATCCCTGGGAACACCCGCATTGACGTCATGGATATCTTGCTTCCAACGAGAAACTCAGCCACCCATCTGCAGAGCTTCTCTGGGAGCCCATAGGATGGAAGTTTGCATAATCGGGCAGCCTGCCACTGTTGATCGAACACTTTCGTGATATAAAGAGCACCGACATGAATCTCACTATAAGACTGGATGAGTTTACTTCACATTTGCGTGACGTAATCTAGGCAGTCCCCTGTGGAACGCTGGTGCCGGAAAACATACTGCCTGTCGCTAATCAAGCCGTAACGTTCGAGGTAATCCAAAAGCTTTAGATATGCTTCTCCATCACATTACTTATAACATAAATCAGTGTTATAGTAGTTTTTTATGTTTTAGTTTGCCTGTTGGTGTTTAATAAACGATAAAAGTGCCACTAAAAGTTTTCTATGAACATTGGGGTTTGACCGTTTGATTGTTTCTTTTAGTCTTTCACTCATGCTGTTTGGTACTCCTCTGCAACTGGAGAACTCAAACTCTTAATGCTATGTCATATTTGTATGCTGCTGCATCTACAACGTTCCAGTTCTTCTAACTCTATTGAGTTTTTGCTTAAAAAGGATTTCTGGAAGGTTACGGGGAATTTTTGGAAAGTTGACATCTTCATAAATTTCGATGATGTGCTTGTTTAGAATGTTCACTCTGTTAGCTAGTATTTCAGAAATGGCGCCCAAAAACATTTTTTTGCATATGCTTTTTACGATGAAGATTTCCTGCAATTTATGTTTCCAGATTTTTTTCTAAAAAGGATACGTTTGATGTTCGGCGCGATCAAGTTACTCCAACACGAATAAACGGGAAATCGATCATCAGTTCCAGGATTTGATAGTTTTACGTAGAATTTCTTAGATATCTATCTATTTTTACCACCCGTACCGATACAAAAAAAATGACATCAAGTGGGTTGACTTTGCACTTCCCACGCAACGTTCTTTTCAGCCAGACAGTAATATGTTCAGCTCAAACTACACCCTCCGAAAAAAGTCTGGACATAGACATTCTCTCCCTGCCCTACCAGTAGTGAACCTGGAAACGTAGGCTCTCGCCGATACATAACTTGGACAGACGTGGTAACGTGGCAGCGCGGTCAGAGCATAAAAAAACGCTATGTTGTAGAAATGCTTATGATTCCATGCCAGAAGACTCATTACTCTCTCGAGAATATTTATTTAATGGCTAATGCACAAATGTATTATGTCCGAAATAATATATGTCTAAAATTCAGCGAGCGTATAAACGTACTAGCATCAAAAAATTGAGACAAACTCTCCCAAGTTTTTTACCTCTAAAATTTTTTTCGTACGTGATTGAGCGATTTGTGCTTTGCACTGGATCGATTTCCAAAAACTACAACTTTGCGTCGTTGGCATAGTAGTAACATTTTGTGAAAATCTCCTTAAAATACTAGCGGTACTTCTCAAGTTATAGGCGGTTATAAGAATAGCAGACAGACCTGCAGACTTGCAAGCCGACGGAAATGAGTCACATCCTTTTTCGTGATGTACATGTCATATAACATCAAAAAAACATAATATCTGATTTTCGAAAATTTTCACGATTACAATACTTCCCAGCCAGTAGGCCTGTGAAGTAAAAATGGCACCCAATAGTCTTATGGAGCATTTCGTCTTCATCTTTATTCGAGTCTTTCTTGGAGAAAAATAAGACAATCTGGAGAAATTTGTCTACAATATTTTTTTTGTTAGTGGGATCGTTCTGTCGGATATCGTTCCATGTGTCGTAGTGGATTGACATAGAAGTTTTATAGTCTCAAAAATGCACTAGAAGCAAGAATTTTCATCTATGATCGTAGTACACATGTCTATTGTACGAGGGTGGTCCCAGAAGTACCCGACACAACGTAGAAAACACAAAATTTTTGTAAAAAAAATGTATTTATTTTTCAACATAATCTCCTTTGAGCTCTATACACTTTTCCCAGCGATGTTCAATAAGTTCGATACCCTTTTTATAATAAGAACTGTCTTGCTCCTCAAAATAGCCATTAACTGCCAATATCACTTCTTCATCTTTTGGAAAATCTTTGACCACTGAGCCATTTTTTCAAGTTTGGGAACAGAAAATAATCCGAGGGGGCTACATCTGGTGAATAGGGTGCATCAGGTAGCAATTCAAACTTTAATTCGTTCATTTTGGCCATTTTTACTTGATTTCATCGCTCAAACGTTGCAATAAGTTCGCATAATACTCGCCGTTGATAGTTTTGCCTTTTTCAAGATAGTCAATGAAAATTATCCCACGCGCATCCCAAAAAACCGACGCCATAACCTTGCCTGCAGATGAAACGGTCTTCGCCTTCTTTGGAGCCGTTTGTCCCTTTTGAGTGCCGTGTTTTGATTGTTCTTTTGTCGCGGGTGTGAAGTGATGGACCCATGTTTCATCCATGGTTATGAAACGATGCAAAAATTCTGCTTTGTTGCTGTGAAACTTCGCTAAACATTCAATTGAAACATCTTCACGACACTGTTTTTGCTCGATTGTGAGCAATCGCGACACCCATCTTGCACAGAGCTTTCTCATGTCCAAATTTTCAGATAATATGCGATGAACCGCACTTTTTGAAATGCCTACTATGTCTGCTAGCTCGCGCACCTTCAGTCGACGATCATTCAGTACTGCTCTGTGAATTTTCTTCACCATTTCTGGAGTCGTCACCCCATTTGGTCGACCACTGCGATGCTCGTCTTGGCAGCTCATACGGCCTCGTTCAAAATCTGCTACCCAATATTTTACTGTTGTAAACGAAGGAGCAGACTCACCCAGAGTAGAATCCAGTTCAGCTTTTATATTGGTTGGGCTGAGGCCTTTGAAATAATAGTATTGTACCACATAACGATGACCAATTTTCTCCATTTTCACAAATTCACTGAAAACGTTCAGTATTGATGGCTGCTAACCAAATACTTAAACAACGTGGCGTCTTCAAACTTGAGACATATGCTTTATAGGTTGCATACTTTCTAATACAATGATATTTTTCAAACAACTATCGCCATCTCTAGGTCAGGCCGGGTACTTCTAGGACCACCCTCGTAGGATATTTTCTGGTGGACGATTTGTGTTAGAGCTATTTCCTGTCTCGAAGGAGATTGTCAGTATGGCTGATTACGCTGCAAATATATGAGGTAGCAAAGTAAAAGCATCTATAGCATTCTAAACACAACTACCTTGAACCTCTGTACACCATGGGTCGTAAAACTGAATTTTGAAAAAGTCTAATTTGTTGCAGGTCCCCGTGGACTCTCCTACAGCCAGTTGTTCCGGTACGTCCTCCAAGTCGTACACCCCGCTGGACGCGTTGTCCAGTATGCAACCACCTTCTGCACCGCCTGGCATTCACCATCATCACCATCACCAACACGTGATGACCACCGGACCACCACCGCCACCGCAACACGTGCTTCATGCCACGCATCAGCTGTCACCTGGTAAGTGAATATTCTTCTATACTGCGAATTGATAGAAATGTCGCTACTTATGAAGATTCCAGCGCCGCAACCTGTAGCATGGATGCCATTGGAGGAAATTTCAGTCGTCTTGATTTCATTCATCCCATTTTTACAAATAATAATAAGCGATCCTACACGGTGTCTAAAAAGGAAGTCAAAGTCAAGATACATTGTCGTTTTCGCCACTGCGACTGCTTGGCTGTCAATCGGTGATGGCTCATAACATTCTCTAAACTACTGTAGTTTGTAAGACTATCCAATTAATTGTGGAGAGAGATACCATTTAACATCCTTTATTTACAGTTGAAATAGTAAATGCTCAGGAACGTAAGGATCCTCCGTGATTTTCTCCAGGACGTAACTTTATGTCGTCTTTATAAACAGTGGTAAACGCTTGTGAGGCAAGAAGTACCGTAGATTTGTAAGGCTTTGTTACTTTGGAAAACATTTCTTATAGGATTCCTGCGGCTTGCAGACTAGAGGTGACCTAGAACCAGTATTGTGAACTAAAAAAGGAACATATGTCTCCTTAAGGGTTGTGAGATTAGGTTTCAACGCCGTCTTTACTGAATTTTACAAGATCATTCAAAACTTTTATAGGGATTCAAAAAAGTCAGCGTCACATTATTTTGTTACAGGACTGCGTCATGGTTGCTCTAGTGCATTTTCATCGCCCCATTCAACCCCAGGCTATCATCCACCGATTCAGGGTGAAGCAGGATACGTTCACGGTGAGTTTGCATGCAAATGTTTACACTCTCGATGAGTTCTCAAGAGTTACACCGTATGTTATCATTAATGCTTTACAAATCAAGCATCATAAACTCTCGCCTCGAAGTGTTGTTAATAGGTAGTGCCATGATATTCGAGTTATACTTCTGCGTACCTTTTTAATTAATAAATTATTTGGATTTGTTGTACTGATGGTGTTGTGTGTAGATTGGCACATCACGCAGAATGTTTCCTATTGAGATACGATCGGCAAATAATTTGGGATTATAACCATCAGGAATTGAAAAACACCTAAAACTTGTCGAGTACCTATGAATTCTTTTCGCGCAAACGCTTTGTAGTTTTTGAAAATCGGTCTAGTGGCGGCAAAGAACCAGGCTTAAAACGAAAAAGAATAAAAATCGGGCAAACTGTTTTTTTACTTTTAGAGGATTGTGATAATTTTGAAAAGAAATTTATAGGTAAAAAACTTGGGGGTGGGGGTTATAGCAGGGTGGGGACGGTTCGTCTCAATTGTCTGATTTTAGTACATTTAGACGTTCCCAGCCTTGGTCATTCGCACCTGTTATGCATATTTCATAGATTTCTCCGGGATTAGCCCTTAAAAGAATAATTAAAAATATCCTCTGCAGAGGGCTGGTGTATTTACCGGGCGCGTCTGCTGATCCCGGAGGCATGTGTTGCCGGCCTTAGTGAGTGTTCTGTTGTTCTGGTGCAGAATTCGGTACACGTATTTCTGCCTCGCCACAGCATAGTGTTTTCTATGCTCAGTCCGCGCTGCCACGTCATGACAGTTCCAGAAACACTACTGGTAGGGCAGGGAAAGAATGTCTATGGACTAATTGTGTGTACCTGTTTCACTGACTTTTTTCTCAGACGCTCTTGTTAACAGCGTTGCGCTGGAAGTGCAGAGTCAACGTACTTGACGCCATTTTTTTGTATGTGAACCTGAAATACTTGAAACCCATGGACCGACTGAATTTTTATCAATTCATTGTATTCCTGTTTGCTAGACCCACTTCGTAGTTGGTGCGTCAATAGAATGTGATCAGTAATATTAGATTGAAGCTGTATATGTTACTATTTATAAGCCACGCTTTCAGAACATCGCTTCAAAAAATATTATTTTTAGATAATCAGTTTTTTTGGAATCTAAGTATTCTTTTTATGCAGTCTGGCACGTATTTTCAATCCGCTGTAAGTACTATTATAGCTAGTCGTATACCTGTTAAAATGTTTCGTGTTTATACTAGATTTGTGCAATATAAATGAGCACATACACCTTCCCATTGTAGGCTGATTAAAAATAACGACTCTACTAGGAAAGAATAACGATTGTAGTCATAAACGTTGTTTATCCTTGACGTTTATGGAAAAAAATTATAATCATATTGTTTCCGTGTATGCTTTTAACTAAGCTTGATTTTTTGAACTTACACATGGTCTGATAATGATCAAGTCTGTTTCGGAATTACTATTTCTCTTCGATTTACAGCAAATATTTGATGAATGTTCTATGGTGAGCGTGTAAACAGTTTGCAACTTCCAAATGGAATAAAGCTATATAGCCTTAGTTTTTGGTAGAGACCGAAAGCAATGATGATAGTGATTGAAGATGTTAAAATTTAATAGTTTCATTCCCATCCAGTTCTGATATCGTACCAGAACCGTGCGAATATCATTGATAAAATCATTTATACGCATGCGCCGACTAGACACCACTTTAGAATTGTTTCTGTGTTGATTGAAGCGATTTTGGAATCTTTTTGAGCCTAGAAAGTGACAGATAGCCAATGGATAACATTGTAATAATCTGCTCTGGTTTTTGGAGTAATACAAATGTTATTCTTAAAGCATTTATTCTGAGAAATCTACAAACCTCTGTTTGCCACACTTCCTCTAATAACTTGAACTTTCCCAACTTCTTCCTTTTCGTCATATTCGCTATTTTGGTCATCAGCCTGAAAGTGTTGCTTCTGATTGGTCTCTCATTCATCACTGAAAACGAAGTTGTGACGTAATACATACCAAGATAATTCTAATTTTTTTATTCGCGTTTGATAAGAAGCGAAATTCCAAGTCGACTTCGTTTGAATCTGTAAACAAATAGTTGTCCCCTTTGTCACTCATCACAATATATGATAGTAACAGATGTTTAGCTCAACTATTTTCACGTGTAAAAACTTTGACTATCACATGCGTACAGAATTCCGCAAATTGTCAAATATCGCCGCCGACATCATAAACAAAATAGACATCCACACAGGTATTATGTAAAAAACCTATAAAATGTCATACGTAATACCCGTGCGGAGGATTAAAAATCAGCTGACAGCTCGGCAGTTGCTCCACTGTGCATGTCAGAGTCTTATACTTCCCTTTTAAAAGCAAGTGCCGAATTCATCGTAACAAAACCGTTTCAGAAATATCCCGAAACTGGTTGTAACGAAATGTGCAAGCATGTCGACGTTCCAGTATGGTTCTTCGACGTTTGGAACAAGATTAATATAGCATTTGTTAACAGATTCAAAGCCTGTTAAAACGTGTTAAGGTTGTAGCACATTTGCCGTGAACAAACGCATACAACGTTGTTTTATGCATTTAAGCAATCATCAGTACGGTATAGGTCTAGTCGTATGGAGAAACGGAAAGCAAACAGTCTAACATTCTAACAACATTGACAGGTGCCATTTACAAATAGTTCGCCAAAGTTTGATACACATTCGACCCATACGCTGAAAACAACAAAATACCCCTGCATACCCGTATCTAGCCTACACTGAATGACCATTCTATGAACGAATAGATCAGTACGGCTGCAAATTTATTTACATTATTAAAATTATCGCTCTCGTACATGAATTCTATATACACGGTGGCTGGTTTGTATCTTGAATATTTGTGAAATGGAATAAAATACGTCCATTTTTTCAGCTTAATATGTTATTGGAACAGCTGGTCTACAGTATTTGTTTGCTGACATAAACTCTATATTTCAAAAATCCCCATAAAGAAAGTCAGAAGCCGTTAAATCCGGTGACCTTGGTGGCCAGTTGGCATCACCAAATCGAGAAATTAACGTCCCGGAAATATTGTTCGCAAAAGATTCATTTTTTCCCTAGCAGTGTGACAAGTTGCTGCGTCCAGCTGGAACCACATGTTTAATGCAGGTTATATTGTTAGATTTGAGGAGGTAGAAAGCTTTGCATCATATCACGGTAGCGCTCGCTAGTGACAGAAAGAGAATTACCTGCATCGTCTTCAAAAAAGTAAGCTCTAATGACACCTCCATATCAAACACCGCACCAAACTTTGACTAGAGTCAGATGTAGTGGTCGTTGATGGATGCCACGAGGGTTCACTAATCCCTAGATACGACAGTTCTGCTTATTAACAAATCCATTCATATCGAAGTGCATCGCTCATTACCAGTTGTCGGTAATAATCGTTATTTTCATGGCCACTAGGCTTTAGTTTTTGGGTCAACTGAATTTTGTATGGCCGCAAATGCAAGTCTTTTTTTAAAATAGTGCATGATGACGTGCGACGAATACCCAGTTCTTGAGAACGATGTCTGGTAGACGTCTCATGGCGCTGCACTACACTTTCACGAACTCTCTCGTTATTTTTCGGAGGACGAAGAGTTCGAACACGGCCCGACCTTGGCAAGTCTTTAACTTCAAATTTCCACACCAACTGACGAATGGTGTTGACACTAGGCACAGTATTTTAGTAAAACGTTTCAACAGGACAGACGGGTTGTCGGATCGTGTGACGCTCCATGATGAATTGGACACATGTGCTTTAAACAACTACTACGGTGCCAACTACTGAAATGCGTGTAGCAAAAATGGCGTGCAATTTAAATCAGTCAGTTATATATCGGCCGCCCTGTATGTTGGATGTTTTTGCAAAATCATCGGATACTAAGTATACTAGCAAATTGCTACCAGTTACCACTGATGTTATCTGTTCAGTATGAAAAGCTGAATTTCGCCCAAATGGCCTATTTATATTTATAAATCTGGACGTTATTAGATAAGTTGTGTGGGTTGGAAAAGTGTCGGCTGCAAGGACCAGAATACAGATAGGTATGAGATTATGTTTCTGTTGGCATGAGGGGGAAGTTCTGCTCCATCATAAGCTGAACAATACAGGTCATTGTTCGACAGACGTATTTGAAGGGTGTCCGAATTTTTTTTTCTGAAATTCTCGGATGCAGATGAGTTCCGTTCGATTGTGGGATATTCCAACTCCTTTTTACTTGGACCTTAACTTATTCCTTTCTAACTGCTTTTATATTTGTTTGCATATTATCCTATCATAAAGGAACTGGAAGACGTAATAAAATGCTATTTTATGATTATAACTACTTATATCAGAAGTGGGACGGGTGGGACATCAAATGGCACCACCTATCTGAGTTTACAGGTGCACATTGCAAATCAAGACTATGCAACCTTTGTTGATCAATTTTTTTATCTATTGATATAATTTATCCAAAAAGTTGCTAAAATCTTAATAAAAACGTTTCTCGTAACTTGTGACGTGCGGGACAGCACCTTGTGACGGGTGCCGAGTAACATTTAGGGCTGCAAATTGCATACGTTTGAAGAAAATTAATACAAATCTGTTTTTATTTATACCCAATGAACTTTTTGTTGAAATTTTCCAAAAAATAAGCGTTTATTCTATTTCTTTCATCAATGAGGTTCTTTAAATCGTAAACCCTGCAAATTTTCATGACAGGTTCAGGCAAAATCTTCAAAATTTTACTTGCATTAATCTATGAAACTTCATTTTCTTTAAACGAAAGATTTCACCAGTGTTTGTTTCATGTTTCATTATTTTATTACAAACTCGCTAATTTATTTTATTATACCTTAGGTGTCGTTTTCGCTGGAATGGTCCATATAAAATACTAAAAAAATAATATCACAAGTTCCTCTAAAAAAATATGCTGAGGGGGTACCCCTAAGCATCTGTACCCCTGTATCTACAATTCTCCAGAGAAGCACCCAGGAAATCTTGAGTAAGTTCCAAATGACACTATATCATTGACAGCAAAGTAACTAATTGGGGCTTCTCATGATGACATTCATGATGATATTTTGTACTAGCTTAATCGGCGATTTTTCAAAAATTTTATTTCGACGGAATATCAACGCTTTCTATACAAGAAGTTTTTTGTATGAAGCAGTGATGACAAAAGTGGTCATACTAAAAAAATCAAGGGGCCATAAAGTCATCCTACAATTGTAGGAACGACTGACGATATGGCCCTTAGAATAGTTCCAGCATTGTCATTGATAATGGATGCAAACAATTTATTTCTGCTACTAACAGTTTCGTTTATAAAGTGAGCCGTTTTGGATCAAACCGTTTTACTTCACTACTGCTTCTGTCGGTTCACATTGCAGCCATCCCCAAAGAGTTCTACAAAAACCTAAAACTTCGAATGACCTGAAATAATCCACGTTTTTTAGGTCGATGGGTTACTATATTTTTAAAATGGCAGATCACAATATGCTGAATCAGTCTCATCATGGTACTTGAAGTTTTGTAATGTGCGAAAATCGATAGCGACTAATAAAGGACGGGTCATCCGTTGGTTTCTTTTTTAAATTGGTATTAAAACTACACTCTTCAATATAATATGTATGTTACACTCGATACTTTATTCAAAAGAATACACCTTCCGTAATTTATGAAAAACAATTTCAGTTAAATGGCTGCCGTGGTTGGCCTGCCAGTAGTCCATCCTCTTAAACCAATTTTGAAGCACATTTTCGATAGTTTGTGGGTCTATTTCATCAATAGCTCGACGGATATTTTCCTTAAGAACATGAATTGTGTGAGGAACGTGAGTATAACAGGGGTCCACCCATAGGAAGTAATCCAAGGGCGTCAAATCACAGCTGCCAATGAACGTCTTCAAAACAGCTGATAACGCGACGACCGAACTTAGTGTGGAAAAGATCATTTGTTTCACCGCTGGTGTAGCATGCTGCGCCATCCTGTTGGAACCAGGATTGTGCAACTGCATGACTCGTAGTGGCCACAAAAAACTCCTCAACATGTCTCTTTACCGCCACGCTGTTACCATTTTCATCTTCAAAAAAGTAGGGACCAATAGCCACACCAAACAGTTACTCTTTTTGGATGCATTGGTTTTTCTATAACACGTGGATTTTCAAAACCCCAAATCCTACAGTTCTTGTTGTTAAGGTAACCGCCCAGATGGAAATGGGCTTCGTCCGAAAATATGATTTGGCGACCAAAATTGACGTCCGTTTCCAATTGACTTGGAGCCTACACAGAGAAACGATATCGAAGAGGATGGTCATTTTGTTTCAACTCTTGCACAAGTTGCACCTTGTAAGGAAATAATCCCAGGTTGTTATGCAATATTCTCCGCACAGAAGTGATACCCTCTTGATGTGCTCTGAGACAAGTTGATATTCTTGCGTTTTCACGCACACTCTGGGCAACAGCAGCAATATTTTCGGCTGTACGTAGGGGTCGAACACGCTCATACCTTCTGTTATCAACAAGCAGGCCAGTTTCACGATCCTTCTTCGTGAATTTTCGTATACCAGTCGCGGACAGAACTTCATTCCGACCAAATAGTCTTCTCAATTTTCGGAAAGTTTCTGCAACACAGCACTCACTTTGAAAATAGTTTTTCAATATTTCCCACCTTTGTTCAAGATTAAAATGATCCATTGCTCACCGCGTAAGTTTGACACAATATATCTGTGAATATCTTAAATCTTAAAAAAAACAACTGATCGCCCGTCCTTTATATTCTATACGTGAAAAAGTCACGATTAACTTAGTAGTTCAATCGATTGTTGAAGTAATTTTGAGAGACAGCATTCCAGAATATTTTTACCTTTTCGCATTATTTTACTAGACTTTATTTTTCAAGATAAAACGTGCGCAATTGATTGCTAAACTACACGCAAGAGAACCAACTCCTTTTTCCGAATACTCGTATCTTGGCAGTGGTATGTAACTTGCCATTTTATCTGATGTATTCTCTTCTGGAGCTTTCTCTAACCAAGCGAACAATAATTCCCTGGGGAATCGGGAACAAGGCGGGCGATCTGGTTTGCAAAACTCTCTGTGATTTATCCGTAACAGGAAACGTTTTCAGCAAAAACATAGGGTCGCTTTTTCAAAGGGTTGCTCCCATCCCACGCTGTACTCTCTGCTCTGATGCATCAAAGGCGATTCAGGTTAATCAAAATGACGGAACAACAAAGCATACGTGGTGTTCAGTTCAGTCGTTTTACTTCCTACGTCACTGACTAGGAAAAGTATTATAATCGCGGAGAATTATATATGTCTGCTACTCCCTAAGGTCGTCTATAACTTGAAAAGTATCGCTCGGATTTTGATGAAATTTTTACAGAAGGATACTATGTCAAGGACGAAAACGTTTTGTAGGTGTTGATAAATGATCCAGGGGCGACGGAGCTGGGAGCAAAAAGAAACGAAAAAAATTAAAATCGAGAGAATGTTTGTATGGGTTAAAATTGGGGGTATAGGGAATGGGGGGAGCATATCTCAACTATCTGGCATTAGTATATTTATACGCTTCCAACCCCGGTAATGCTACCTACGCACCTATTAGATGGATTTCACAAATCCTACATTTCCACGTACATTTGCCCATAAAACTGAGAATTAGAGCCTTTCTATAGATACTTGATAGCTGTTCGGACATTTCATTCAGCGGCACGCGTACGTGTGAAGGCAGGTAAAGTCTCAACCGGTCAGCACTGTCATATCTACCTAACTACATATTTTGCCTTAAGTCTACCTGTCTACCACCCTTAGCCGTAAATCTAAATATTTCATAAGTAGTTGGTGACTTGTCGGTGATTGTGTCTGGGATCCGGCAAAGTAATTTCCGTATATATACCGTACCAGAGTGAACGCAACATGTGTAATGGGATCTTGGACACGGTCACTGTCAGATTGGCAACTGCTGTACGAACAGGACTCTAACTTTTTTTACCAGCATTAGACTAGAGTCATGTGTGTAACGTTAAGGAAACGAAAAAAAAAACTGAGTGAGTTTTGGCAGTTTACTGTTGGCTTGACTCTGATAATCGACAATGATATAAGGATCATAACGGTAAATACGTCAAGACCTTTTAGATGGTCCGCAGGGTTATTACTTAAAAAACTTATAAAACTTCAAGAAAAATCGACAATATGTCAACTTCCTGCCTGAATAGTTCCTAGTGTGCAAATACTGCATTCGTTTGCTCACTATGAGCGCTGTGAGCGTCATTAAAAACGTCCATCTATGGAGGAATGAATCAACCACACAATGACCAAGGTCCAAGCTCAAAAATCAGTTCCCCATCATGCTTTGTTGGTTGCAGAATGCCGATATAGTCCGTAGAGTATAACTTGAAAAGTTGTGTGGTTGAGTATCAGAGTAGCAAGATCATATCTGGATGATTGTGTGTATTGGTCTGAATGTGTATAAAATCAGTGATATTTGCTATGTGAGAAAATTATTACTGAATATGCTGCCCATGAAATATATCTAATAGCTGTGCCAGACGGGTTATTTGTGTTCTCCTTTTTGAGCAGAGGTTATGTTCAAAGTTATACATTACGATTTTCCCCGTTTTTTTTGCGCTTTTAAAATCTTTGAGATGCATTACAGGACATCAGCACCGCACCCGCGTTGTGTAATTAAGCCACATCATAGGAAAGTTAGGAATGACGCGTCACGTACAAAAAAATTTCACATTGCTTCATATCTAGACGCTGATTTATATTTTCTACTTGACATCGTAAAATAAAGTTCTATAAAATTTAAATGACTGGAAATAAAAATGAATGTGAAATGTAATAACTTTTTTTACGTCTCAATTTAGTCAGTTCTAATTTACTTCACCAATCAGGGATTTTCTGTTTTGAAAACCGGCAAATTTGCATATGTAATTTACACATCTCAAATAAGTGTATTTGACGTTTACGCAACACGTACAGCTACGGAACGAGTATAGAAGAAGTGAACAACAGCTAGCGCTAAGTTGACATCTTGTACAAAAAACTTGATAATGTCACAAAAAACCTATAGAATGTCAAAAACCCGTCATAATGTTACTTCTCAAGATACGTAATACTGCCTTGTCCCTTGTTCGGTCAAATATGACCCACTTGGCCACTAAATGTCAGTGTCTGCTATTCTGTAGTATAATGAATTTTTGGGGTATAAATTGGGAGTATTTAGAGGTGATTCAATAACAAAACGGTAATAAATAGTATTAATATCCTTTCGATAGAATCAGCATTACAGAAAGCTGAACTTGTTGCACTTTTCAACAAAAATCTGTACAATACTAAATAATTTCAGAAGTTTTTATACAGTCTTAATACGTAAAAGATCCACTGAATATGGGCGGAATATCTGCCGATTTCCATGTTATAATTCTACCACTTTTTACCAATGTATGGCGCTTAATCTACCTATTATCTTAAATCAGGGTTGGCAACACTGCAACTGGGATCGGCCTACAGCTGGTTACAATTTGCCGGCACATCTGAAACGACTTGTATACACCCTACTTCAGCAGTATTCATCACGGTAGAATGACTGCTGGTTATCTAGTGATATTTCAAAATTCCCCATATCGGCAAAGGACACATAATTCTGACGGATCCATTTTGTATTTGCTAAAAGCTCTTTTATTTAGAGAAGTTCATTTGCATACAAAAAACAAAACGCTACAAACAAATTTTTGCTAGATTTACACCCCATTCATTATAGCCAACGCTACAGACTAACACAAAAATGTCACTTGCTGATCAGCTACTCACATCAGTAGACGTCAAAGCGTGATGGATACTCGTGAAACAGGGTATATCTCATACATCCTGTACGCTATAACGTGGCGGGAATTTCGGTTTGTTAGTCTTTAGCCTTTTATTTTCTACGCCACTGGGCGAGGAACTATTGTAATCGCGAAAAAATTCAAAAATGAGATATTATGTTTTTAGATGTCATATGACTTCTACATTACGAAAACTCATGTCATTATTCTCAAACGGTCTGCCTATCTGTCCGCTAATCTTTACCCGTCTATAATTTGGAAAGAACTGCTCGGGCTTTGGATGAAATTTTTGCTGCTGTGCCAAGGACGAAAACCTATCGGTCCGCGGCGGCGGAGAAAAAAGCCAGAAACGACAAAACAAGAATCGCTCAAACATCTTTCTTTACCGCTTCAGAAGATCCTGATCATTTTTGAATAAATCTTTAGGAATGAAAAATTAGGGGGTGGTGGTTGGGGAGGGTATATGTGTATATCAATTTTATTATATTAGTATATTTATATGCCCCCTGCCCCGGTAATTATACACATCTATTAGCCATATTTCACACAGAATAAGTTTTCGCATACATTTGTTGTTTAAACTTGGAATGCGTCTCCTTCTACTACCTGAGCTTAGCGCCCGGCGTAACTATTTACTTGATTGTTCTGGCCGCACTGCGACGTTGTCAGATGGACGGTAGAGCAGGGAAAGAATATCTATGAACTAACTGTATGAGCCTACTTGAGGCCATTTTTTCAGTATATTCTTGACGCTATCATATGACTGAAGTGGTAGAACTTGGAGATCCATCACCTACGGTTTCTCTCTATTCTATGGTTGCCTTCCACCTATGTATCTTGAAGGGGGGCGTGGATTTGTTAGTTTTCTAACATATATGCCCTGATATGACCTAAACTGACTATCCTACGATCGAGGTGTCAATCACGCACCTCTTAAATTGTCCCCTGGTAGGACGTTGGGCTGCAGTGCCGCCCAGGCCGTTAATTGCTGGCTGTTCCTAGTCCGTTTACAAGGCTGTATATTTAACCTACATCATGTATACGTACATCGCGATGCGAGGAGTGCTTTGATCCTCTATGGGCCCGCCCTTGCCCGAGCATCAACGAAGAGGCAGCGAGACGCACACTGAGCTACGCCGTTTATGCACACACACATTGTAACATGTATGGCACGCATGAGTTGATGCGGGGCGTCTGGTCACTAAAGGGTTATGATGCTGGCGTGGATAAAGGTTGCTTGATCTTAAGGTTGCTTCAAGGCAAAGTTCTAGAGGGTCGCCAACCTTTTCATTGCGTTGAGCTACTTTGATAATTTTGGAATAAACAGTGAGATACCTAGTCGTAAGCAATGTAAGCCAACTTAAATGAAATTATACATAGTTGTATGCGATATAGATGTGCTTATTTTACTAATACTAATACATACTAATAAACTTAAATAAACTAATAACTAATACATACTACATAATTACATCCATTCCTATTAATCGTAGGTGTTTGAAAAATAAACAAAACTTTTCGTCAGCTACAATGGCATGTCACATACGATTTAATAAAGGTAACTAAAAATAAAAAAGCAAAGCACTATCTTAAACAAAAACATGTCCAAATGAAAAGTGCGTGTTCACTGACACTCAGACTCACTGACAATTTTTTTAATGTTTGGAGTATAATTTGATATACCGCCATGCGAATACAATTATCCAAATGTTCATCTGTAAGTCGATTACGGTATTTGTTTTTAATAAATTTCATATTTGAAAAATAAGATTCTCACAAATAGGTTGAACTAAATAACACTTTCACTCTCAAGGCAACACGACATAAAACTGAATATTTATCTTTACTTACTGAAGGCCAGATACATTTTGTATTTGAGACTAATGATTTTATAGCTAAATCATTTTGAAACGCAATCACTTCCATTTCTGTCGCAGCGATGTCTTCGCTGAAATTCTGCGTAACAGAAGTTGCATTTTCCATGAAGGGTTGAAACAACCAATTGCGCCGCTATAGCAATCTCGTTGAAATCCTTGAAACGATTTTTGAAGTTATCCTTCAAGTCAGAGACTATTTCTACATGATATTTACTGTCACATGGTTCTGATGGACTTTGGGATATCTTTTCTAAAAGAACAGGAAAATGCCTCGTATCGCCATCGATAAAGCTTTGTTCCCAAAACACAAGCTTTTTGATAAACGCTTTTATATCAGAAATCATTTCTGCTAGTTCCTTGTCTCTCCCATGAAGCTGCAAATTAAGTTCATTTAATTTTTCTGTAATATCCACAAGAAATCAAAATCTCTTAAGCCAGATTGATTTTTCCAGTCCCGGAATCAGCTCATCACGTTGCTTGAAAAATTGAACTATGGCAGATATGAGATAACACTCGTCTCCTACTTAACCATCCGACTTCATAGTGGATAAATAGTTCCCCGTCAATTTCATCGGCCAAGGTTTTGTAAAATCTGCTTTGTAACGCTTGAGCTCTAATCTTGTTCACAATTTTTGCTACCAACGTTGTTTAGTTTTAGAAAATGGCCACATAATGCTTGCTGATGGATAATGCAGTGGTAACAGATTGCGGAAAACTTTCATCTTTACAACATAACCCTCGAGACCCTTATCACGACCCACCAAACCTGGAGCGTCATCGGTTGTCAAGCCTACCATTTTCGATATTCGAATTTTCTCAGAAGAAATACTATTTTTAAAAGAAGAAAACAAGTCCTGTCCATTAGTCTGTCCTTTTAGTGGAATAAACTTCAAAAGATCTTCATTAATCGTAAAACCATCCTGATGAACACGGCCATCTGAGAGGTGTCAACGACATCTGTGCATTCATCCAGATGCAGTGAAAAATAAGCACAGTTATCGAAGTCATTTCTTAACTGTAAAACTATATCATTGCTCATTACTTACTTACAGCAGACACTATCTCGTCTTTATTTCTAAAGTTGGCAAATAATGAATCTGCAGCTTCTGAAAACGCCTGTTTTATCATTTCTCCGTCTTCATAAGGTTTCTTCTTTTGTTTAATTATCTGGGACACCCGGTAGGATGCTTCAGTTGCAGCCTTACTTTAGGCCCGTATCGTCAGTCGTCCCTACAATTGTTGTAGGGCGCGTTTATGGCCTCCTTGATTGTCATACTCCTTTCTCTCCTTCAAAAATTTCTAGATTACACTTGTCCCGTGTCAGCGACAGCGCTCTCCTATTGTAAATTGTACGAAATTTCAGACTGATAAAACATGATATAACTCAAAAGCAAGCACAATTTGATGCAAATAGATGTTTGTGAGATAACCTCAAAATAGAGCGCTGACAGGGAGAAGTATGAAGAAGTAAGAAGTATGACAATCAAGGAGGCCTTAAAGGCGCCCTACAATTGTAGGGACGACTGACGATACAAGCCTTAGTCGATTGTTTTTAAAAACATTGTTGACCAATTAACTGATTTTTTAATTGTTTCAGTTTTTCCGTCCTGGTTGCGAACGTAATGGGAATGACTTTTCAACATTCGAATGTGCAGTTTCATAGTGCATCTCGATATTCCCTTATTTCCTTTTTTAGCAACGGAAACAGATGTATTACACAACAAACATTTGTACCAGTAACTTCTGTAAAGAAAGATTGTTCTTCCCGTTCCGAATGGAAATGGTATGTCTTCATCTTTTTACTACTGCTCATAATGTTTTTAATTGCAGGCCAACTCTAACCCAACCGCTGGACTTTGTTCCGTTCAGTTTTAAACTGAGCGCACCGTCGCCGCGCATTGCGTATTTATTCCGTTCAAAGTAATCGAGATCGTTCTCGGACAGATCGCTCACCGCAGTGTTGCCGCTGCTTGTGTTTATTATGAGAAACTACAAAATTTACGGAAGCTTATATTTTTACACCTTTTTAAAATATGTTGTGAGCCACCAGAATAGGCGACCACTGTTCTAGAGATCTGCAGGGGTATTACTTTTATTGAAAAGTGACATTATGTTGGTTTTTTGACATTATTTAGGTTTTTCTGACATTATGTAGGTTTTGAAACAAGATGTCAACTTAAAACTAATTGTCGTTCATTTGATGTGCACTCGTTCTGTATAGGTGCATAGTGAGGATTTGTGTATGAATAACCTGTTTTGATGATAATTCTGTTGGTTTCGTGTCTCAAATACACTCACTTAAGATGTAGCTGGAAATTAGTTGCGGGTGCATTTTTTCTTATTCATCATGGAAGTTACATTTGAAAATTTGCCGAATTTTAAAAACGAAAGATAACAAAAGAAAATCCCTGGTTGATGAAGTATATTACAAGTATGCTACAGACAGAAACATTTATGAAACGTGAAAATTTATTATATTTTTATAGAAATGTATTTTGCGAACAGGTGAGAAAATATGCTACAGACAGGAACATTTATGAAACGTGAAAAAGTTATTATATTTTTATAGAAATCTATTTTGCGATGTCAAGTAGAAAATACAAAGGAGCGTGTAGATGTGAGGCACTGCGAAAATGTTCTCTGTGTGATGTGTATTTTCTAATTTCTCTGGGATGTGGCTTAATTACAGACAACGCGGGCGCGGTGGTGATTTCCCGTAATGCTTCTTAAAATATTATTTTATAACTTTGAACATAACCTCTCTTCTGAAATGACAAACACAGATAAACCGTCTGGCACACCTAATAGATATACTGTGGGCTGCATAATTCAGTAATAATTTTCTCATATAGCAAATGTCACTGATTTTATACACATGCAGACCAATTCACATAATCATCCAGATGCGATCTTGCTATTCAACCAAGTTTCTTTCTGTCACATCTTCTATCATACACTTTACAGACCATCTTGGCATCCTGCAACCAACTAGCATGCTGGGGAGTTGACTTGCAGCATGATCAATGAGCGTGTTGTTGAAACATTCTTCCGTAGATGACGCTTTTGTTGACGCTCACAACGCGGAATGAACTATTTACATATTAGGAACTACCTAGTCAGCAAGTTGAGATCTTGTTTTTCTGACATTACGAGCCCCTTTCCACTTCAGTTGGCCCACTTCAAGATTTGTACCAAAATATGTCTTTATAAACTAAACATACGAAACTATTTACTTCTAAAACAATTTATTTTCTCAAACACATTTTAGATACACTCTAGTTGTAAAAAATACAAATTTTGCCAAAAACTTGGTGTAAAACAATCCCATATTTCTTGAAGCTTTTGTCTCAGTTCGGTGATTATACGAGCAGGATGTTGTCGTAGAACCTTTTTCATCTCGTGCCACAAAGTTTCAATAGGTGACAGATCTGGACAGAGCTGGAAATTTCACTTTTCTCTTCAGACAGTCAACATGGAATGCTTCATTTTTTTTGCGAATAACTACTGCGACTGTCACCAACACAAGCTTCGGGCCTCATCACTCCATTGTATTGCACACCATTGTTGAGGTGTCCATTGTCTATATTCTTTAGCCCATCTAAGCCGATTTTTCTTTTGCAGTGGAGTTAATAGTGGCTTTTCTTTGGCCTATAAACAAGTTGTGCAACTTTAGTTTTTACTTCACTTTTTTTTAAAAGAAAACTTACCTTGCAAGTGCTAAATCCCAGTTTGTGGGCCTCTCTATTAGTTGTGGACCTCGAAATTCTCCTTCCAACAGCGTCACTCCAGAGAGCACTTACATTGTACATAATTGGCACGCCTGTTTTTCACGATTATTCTTCTTAATGCTCTTCGGTCGGCATTTGTGATATTACTTTTTTCACATATCGTGGCTTAATATTAACTGAACCAGTTACGTTATATCTTCTAACAATATTTCTCACACTGTACCGCGATAAGTCTAACAAAGTTGCAATTTCTGAGTTTGATTTCCCAGAATTAAAAAAATTAATTATCAGCAACCGACTTTTCTCACTAATAACCTTTCCTCTACCCATTTTGAAAACCTTAACTACACAAAACTATTTTAAACGTATTCTGACAGCTGTGATTAATAAAAACAATTGTCATGGCTTTTATTTTCACAGCCACCTATGTGTTATACAGTTATTTTGCATTGAAATGAAAATAGGTTGATATGCTGTAATTGCAACATGTGTTATTTTTATGCTGCAAATTTGATTAGGGAGTGATAAAGTTGGTGTTTTCTACTACATATTATCAAAATATTCATTGTTAATATTTTAAACCTACATTTTTATTATTTGTGTTCGATAAAAAAAACTAAGATTTCAATAGTTGGGCTAACTGAAGTGGGAAGGGGCTCGTATATGTATACAGTTTTTTCATGTAATAATCCTGCCGCTTGTATACATTGACAACATGTTATAGTATTTTTGCATAGAACATTCCATCTACGGGCAAGTGATCAACCAGCCCCTACGTTGCAATGAACTCACGTTGATCTTGCACCGATCGGATACGCCGTATATAGACAATTGCCTCCAAAATTCCGAGGCGGAGATTCGAACCCGCGATTAGCAGCTCTACACGCTGAGCACTTGGTTACCAGCCTCCTGAAGGATTTGGCTTATTTCCCACTATGTTTGAAACCTACCTTGCTCGAGACTTGATGGCATTGGTAAAAAAATATCGAAATATGGGACTGAGAGTGGGGAAAGGTATTCACTATTTTTTTGCCGACGATCAAATCACAATGGCAGAAGATGAGGATGGCTTAAGCTACATGATAAGTAAATTGAAAGGAGAATATGAAGCAGCAGATCTATTAATGAATATGACTAATTGTGAATATTCGAAAGTAAGATGGAACAGGCAAGTTAATTGTGGAATCTACAAGAGGAGTGGAAACTTACAAGTAGGTACTTCGAGGTAATTTTTAACAGGGAAGATACTAGTGGTAACGAATTACAAGTAAGGACCAACGAACGCCAGAAATGTGAAACGAGCATTAAAGTGTGTATGAAAGGAAATTAAAAAAATAGCGTCAAGTAGGTTGTCTTTGCACTTCTCACGAAGTGCTGTCATTACTTCATAAAGGATAATGTTGGGAGCAAGTTAGTCCCTGTGAGGTAAAAATTAGCTACAATCATGTATAAAAAAAATTAAATGTATTAATTAAGTAGGTAAGCCGAAAAAATATTTGTTCAAGTTTTAAGGGCAAATATAGGGGGAAATATATGAGTCAAATATGTACTAATAGGTGCGTTGAATTACTGTGGTACTATAATAACCCCTACAATCAACAATGCTCAATTTTTAACCTCCATTTTTTCCAAAGTGATCAGAAGCC